AATCAATTGGTTCACGATAGGGCCGATCATTATATTAAACTATAAAACTTAACAAACTTAAAAACTTCATCCTAGATGAATGTATGGCGTTAAACGAGGCCATTTTCTACTCTAACCTCTACTGGAATAAGATTTTGTGACAACTTAGTCGTTAAATACTTTGATATCAAGAGCCAATAAGGGACAGATTCACTTTCACAGCTCTTGTCCAATATATCGACCGTCTATGAGAGCCTTCTATACTCTCTCGGCACGTTCCTACATTGATTGCTGAAGCTCTCCCACCATGGGACATTGGGGAGAGAGGATGAGCCTCATATGGCTTTAGTTTGTATACAATCGGTAGTGCCAATACTGTATAGCAACACCAACGACAGTGGAAATCGCGTAATAGTGTAGTACGATACACTAAAATGTATTGTATTTTCTACAGACCCAAGATTTAGATTTTTTTTCCCAAGATTGTTCACCAATTCCGGTATTCGATACGGATTATAAACCCACATTTTCTCTTTATTACAACCGATGTATCCTAGTTTAGTATTATACGAAGTATTTTCTTATCGACGATGACCACAACTATTTCATGCTCGAAATAAATTAAATTCTTTGCATAGAGTTTAGGAAGTGTTGCATACCGTGATAACAATTCAGGTAATACTTTGAATTTTTAAAAGATACGTCGGAAATTCTAAAATCGGTTATCTTTAATTTAATTTCAACTGAAAAAACTTGAAATGTTTCAAGATTGTTCAATATGTTGATGAATAATGTAATAAAACCGTTATATATAATCATTGAGTATTGGATTGTACCAATAGTCAAGGATATAATTAATCAACCCGTTACTAAGCGAATTTACAACATCTCTGGGATATTTGTAATCTTATTGCAATTAAAACATAGTTTGTATCATGTGAGCATCTTTGTATTTAGTTTTAAATTAGACGGCAAACTATCTATTTTATCTATCTCATATGTGAAAAAAATTTATGCATGTAAGGCAATTTTATTATATGCATTTGCGTTTCCGAAATTCTTTCCGCTGTGATCCAACTCAAAAGAAACTCGTATATTTTGAATTCCCACCCCACAAGAAAAAAATATTGATCGAGTTTTCTCGACCAGTAGGGACGTGTAGGTGTTTAGTATTTGTTAATTGGATGATCTTTTATAATTTTGCCAGTTTTTAAATCAGATCCAAGTTGAATAAAATACGTACGGTATATACTTGGGTAGCCACATAAATATAGATAAAAAATAAAATCCAACCATTGGCTATATATTCCAACTCAAACATATATCTTAACCATGTAATTTCCCTTTTTTGAAAACTTGACGATTAAGAAAATGTGTCGCGGGGCCGGCTCAGCCTCTGCCCACTTTCTATTGATTCTTGCAACTTAGACTTGGGCTTTTGTTCGCTCAAGAATTGAAGTCGTGTCTTAATGGCCTGTTAATGTTTCTTGCAATTTCAAAAGTGTGCATTTTCATTCTTGTTGCCTTTACAACTTCGTCACTTCCACAAAAATTCGAAATATATTCGAGGATCAAGTGATTGTTACATATCGACTTGATGTTTCATTGTCTCTTTAAAGACATTTTGCAAGTAAAAATGAACAAAATTGCTTAAAACTGCATATTATGACAAGGCTTTTCATACATTTACTTAGCCATTAATTCATAACATTATAAAATTTCAAAAACATTATTCACCCTTTTAAGAAACTTTGCATCTTATTTCCTTAAACTTATTGTCCTATAACTAAATACTCAAGACAGAACGTCAAAAGAACTTTAAAAGCATTCAAACTGGAAATACGCTTTGATAATAATCTTTGATAAATAAAGTAGTACTGTAATACATTTGGTGGGACCTAATAATATAAATAAATGAGTGCCGTACTCAAGAGGCAATTTAATTTAGAATAAGCAAATATATTACGTGTCGTTGAGAATAAGCCATCTAAATGTCTTAACATGTTATGGAACTCCACAGAAACATAATATATCTTCTTCTCCAAGCCTCTTCAGACACCTTTCATTGATTAGACACCAAATTATTTTAATGTATTATCGCACTCACATATCTCATGATGCCACTGAGTCGTCGGTGAAGGTAAAGTGGTATATTGTAAATTATTGTTTCTCATATCATATAAAAACTACAATAATCAACTGCTTGAGACTAGACCGGTGGAACTGACAACATGTCAGTATTAATGGATAGGATCGAAAATGAAATGGGGGAATACAGGAGGGTTCTCAAGGACCAAGGGCGAGGGGTATGTTGTTATTGCTGTAATTTCGTCCGATATTACATAGACTTTTTCATTCGTTTTACGTTGAGTTTATGGAACATAACAATTTTTATTATTGAAAGATTCTGAAAATACGAGAAATCCTGTTAACAAAATCTAGTTTCAAACTGTGTTGGGACCAGGTGCTCTCTGGTTGGGACGAACGAACTAAAGAGGCGTTTTAGGTGTAGAAACCCCATAGAATATATTTTACTGCTGAAAAAGATGGAGATGTAGACAGTATCAGGTCAATCAGGTCAGGCCTGGTTTTACCTTTCATTTTCCGCCGATTCCTATGAGCATAGATAAAAACTCATTATAAAATCTATAATGATATTTTTCTTATATCTACGAAACTATTATTCCGTGGATTTTAAACAAAAATTTAATTAATTCTCATGCAGTAATTTTTTCCCTAATTACATTACTTTATTTGTACTCTTCAATCAATTACAATGAATAATGCTATTCTATTTACAATGATTACCGTAGGTGATTTCAATACTGTGGATGACAGAGCGTGGGGTAGGTTGGCAGCACTACATTCCGCCCGACGGAAAACGCAGTTGCATAAAAGGGTTCCATTTGAACCTATGTAAAAACACGCTCCACGAAACGCTGAAACTCGGCGGAGTCTAAGTCCTCCGTCGGCCTCCGACGGAATTCTGAAACGCGACGGAGATTCCGTCGTGCATAAAAGGGTCCCATTTGATCCCATGTTAAAACACTCACCGACGGAAAGCCCGATAGATTCTGATAGATTCCGCCCGACGGAAAACGCCGTGCATAAAAGAGGCCTATGCTATGAGTAAAGACCTCGACTTTGAATAGTGCAAGGGAAGTTTCCTTCTATTAAAATGAACCCTTTATGATATATGTTTCCTCTCGGTTATGTTTGAGCACAGAAAACATACTACTACGTTTTCTGTGGTTTGAGTGGCCTGATGCTAACACATTGTTTCTCCCTACGTTAGGCTAGATATTATGCATTTTTGTGTCACTCCATAGTTGTTATTCCAGTAGACAAGCAACAATTTACGAAATTCGTTGTTAAATTTTGATAAAATGATTTTAAAATATAAATAACAAGGGAAAATTACTTAAACAAAATCCCTCTATACACAACACGTAAAAGTACTTGAATCATAAATTATTTTCAGTGAAAAGATAATTAAATGGACGTACAATTGAGTGGTTGTAACCTATGGTTATAATGACCAATGCAGACAGCGAGCAGGTGGACTGGTGGACAGCACAATCAGTGCCTAGACAAGGGCTAGGGGTGTGTGTATGATAGCGAGGGCTCTAGGGAGGGGTTGTCAAGCCTGGAACTTTTAGATGACTCACCCCCTACCCCCTACCCCCTACTCAATAGGGTGATTACAACTGTTACGTCACAATACATAGGCTGCAACTGTTCATAAACGCTAGATAGCTTATTTGAGCCAGAGGTAACTATTGAAACTTGGCATATGTTAAGGATATGTAAATGAGAAAAATTGTATAACGTTACGATTCGAAGGAAACCAACCTAACCTAACTTGACCTGACCTATCCTAACCTAGCCTTTTAACCTAACCTAACCTGATCTGACCTAACCTGTGTCTGAATTTAGAGTCCAGTCCTTCAAGACCTAACCGAATCTACCACTTACAACTCACCTAACGTAACGATTCATCTACACCACTCGCTTTGCAAATTATAGTAGCGGAGGCTCTTCAGTAATAAAACTCTCCTACTACTCTCTTCTCTGAAAGACCCAATTCTAAGTTACAGTATAATACAAACAAAATGCATATTTTCAACTCATCCTCCATGAACTCAAGTTACATAAATTTAGTTTATTTCACCCATGTCCACTTCGAATACACATGAGAGACAAGTAGTTGTCTCTATGACATCACCGTTATAAACCAGAAACATAGATGTCTGCGGTCCGCCGATAAGCTCTGTGCTGATAAGCAAACGGTCGCTGGCTGATTACAAATTTAAAATTATTTAGCTTGAAATTCATCGTTGTATTTCTCCGGACACTTTCATTGTTTGTAATTCTCGCCCCAGTTGAGGTATTGATTGTTATTCAGTTCCGGATTATTATCGTCTAGTTTTCGCGCCTATTGAGTCCGTCCAATTTAAAATAATGGGTCTCGACATAATCTTGTTGGTTGCACATCGATTGGGATATTTATAGTTTTGAATTAGAACTTGTCATAAATTTTCATTCTTCATTGTCTTTAAAAACTTAATTATTGTGGAGAAATTAAGGTGCTCTTTACCACCGGCTACGTCTAGCAAAAACCATAAATGGATTGACAGCATTTACATCCATACAATTACTGTACACTTGGTTTAAAGTTGAAGACTTAACCAGGCTGTTTTTCTGATCACTCATTTCTGTCCCTCCTTTTCCTGTCGTCCTATCCGATTACTATACTCTGAGTGATGGGACCTGGCTCCTGACCCTTTGTCTTTCTGGAGACTGGCCAATGGTATATTAAGTTCAATCCCAGGTGGATGGATCAGGAGACATGTTCCATCATACCTACTATAGTCAGTGTGCCTATCAACACACCTCTGACACTTCATATAGCACCAAAGCCCAAAGACCAAAGCTATGATTATGTTTCTTCTTCCTTTTCCACAACACTACAGTCCCTCTTGTATTTATGTGCACTGTTGTGACTCGTGTTCTGTTTCCAGGTGATCATGGGAGACCGACCCGCAGCCGAGAGAGCGTGCAAGGATCCCAACCCCATCATCGACGGCAGAAAAGCCAATGTCAACCTAGCCATCCTGGGGGCGAAGCCCCGGGGCAACGTTCAACCAGGTCAGAGCTTTGGTTGTGACATTTCATGTAGGTATTACTTCTTGTGCTCTTTATATTATTCCCAAGGATGATCTGTATTGAGTTTTCCGCCGGGCTTTCCTATGTTTGGGTAGCTTAATTAATTGACATAAATAAAACTCGACTGATTGCCTTGAGGTCGCGAGTTATATCATGAGGAGTTTATCAGTCGCATTTTGAGAAGTTTTGAACCACCCCTGTCATTCATGTTGTTGACAGCAGATCTTGCTCCACCTCCATACAAGAAATCTCCCTCCCCACACTTGTGTTTTATTCATACTTTGGTTAAAATTTCTTTAGTAGTGAGCCCATCTCATTGTAGTGTACTGTATTGCCATTGACTATTAGATACTGAAGTTGTATTAATAGTCAAAGGTATTACCAATTGAAATAGATACGCAACTTGACGTATTTTTACCCAAGTATGACAGAAGGAACAGTGTATGAAATGATCTGTGTAGTGCTAGAGCTATGATAAGATTTAATTATTTATTTAGCCAACCAAGATCATGATTTATCAAAAGCTCAATGATCAATAACAGTTGGGTCTAGTTTCGAAGCATCAAAAGGCATAAGTACTGACTTTTCTCAAGACACGACGACGTCTTCTTGATTAATATGTGAGCACTAAAACCACTTACTGAATGTTATGTCGTAGCGGTCCTATTATAGACTACTCAATTCTTCTTTGTTAGACCGTTTATGGTTATTACAGAATGTACAACTGAAACACCGCAAGCTTCGTCAGTTTCCTAGTCCAACTACAGCTGTTTCAGTCCAGGGTCGTGACTATAGAGTATAGATTGTCAGTTGGCATTGTACATATTTAGGTAAACTCGCCGTATGCTGTAGCACGCCCGCTACTCCAAGGTTAAACTTGTTACGGTTTTTAAGATAAACTAGACAAAAAGCCGTTTACACTCGTCAAAGTGGTTTTACACTGTTCATGGCATTATCATTTCCCGCGTTTTTATTCCTCTTTAATAGCGCTTGTTTACAAAGGTTACGTTGTTGTATACGAAAGGTATTTTGTGAACTTTGTTTCACTTGTGACATATCTTTGGACTTTTTCCAAAAGTGGGGTGTAACATGGGGTATTAATAAATAATATCTATGATGGAGAATTTTTTTAATACTCTGACCGTCTTATCTCCCATAGACGGCGTCCTGACGTGGTTGGGCCTAGTTTTGTTTACAAACTTTTAATCTGATCACAGTCTATAATTTTAGTCAATTATCTGTTTCCCCGGAAGCATATTGAACATTTATGCAAACAGAAGGAAAATACGAAAAAAAGGGAAGGTAAAATCTTAGCTTGGTACTTGAATCTTTTGGGGATTATCAGGGACAACTTGACAGATTCACTTTCTCTCACTCTCGTGTGAAACCTTTGCTGAATAAAACCTAAATAAACAACTTTGCTCTTTTCTATTCTTTCCCGTGGTAAATAGAATACCATTGGGTAAAACATGCTAGATAATCTGACGAAAATAAGTGTAATTATTTTTTCTATATGTTTAATGGAGGTTCCTTTGGTCAAGCTGTAGAGTGCAAGACACCTCACAGTTTGTGGATACTCTTTCGTAACATCCCTGTAGTATCCAGGGAGTATCCAGGGAGCGGAGACTATCCGGCACGTGCGACGCCCCTCATGTTGGCGCGATATCCGACATTCGATACTTCCACTGGAGATATCCGCTCCTATCTACTTCCTTTTCACCCCCTCCCCCCTCTACTATCTATAACCCCTTCAAACCATTTTGTCCTCTTCACACGCTTTGCAAATTAGCATAATGATTTCAAACCAATCGGTATGTTATGCTTTTAGACGCTCTGGATATTTTATGTTTGATTTCAAGAAGCAGGACTTCTAGTTTACGTTCTTAGTCTTCGCAGTAGGGTTTGTATGACAATAAAACATCGTCAATTGACCCAACCAATCGTCTCATAAATTTCTTTCCTTAAAAAATTTAAGTAGTGCATTGCGATTTTTGGCACTGCCCAGATTGAGTGAGAAACCCCATACATCTTGTTCATGTTTCCTCCTACCTGAAGACGATATCGAAAAGTCGTGAAACTCGCCAGTGATGGAAAATTCGAGTTTAGGAAAGATGGGGACAAGGAAAGTTAGGGACACGGAAAGTTAGGGCCAAATAGGGGTTCGACCGGGGGGGGGGAGGGAGAGATTAGCTGAACTAGACTCTGAAACTACTCTTTTAGAACGAATCGTTCTCCTGTTTCAGTTCACAGAGAGCTACAGTAAAGGGGGTTGACTTCAAAATCATAATTTGAATATTTCCAAACAGTAAACCAGCCATTTTTAACAGTTAATGTTAAAAGTCAGTCAAGTACTGATTGATCCAGGCCTAATCACCTAGGTTTGCTAGATTCTTTTTTACGCATTTTGGGTAAGTTAAATATATATTACAGAAAATATAAACGCATTCTATGCAACAATATTACTGAATATAATGTAATGACACATTTTTAAGATATGCTGACGTAATTAGTTTAAAATTCAAATATTTTTGTTTGCACATTGCGTCGGATCATGGTGTGTTACTTTCATGTCTGATGGACATTTTATCTCTGAATTTCTGATCCGCTGTCATTTTGTCGGAAACGCTTAAGAAGACAATATTTTATGCGGCCTACTCTGAGATAATTACAGGACTGGTCAAGATCGAATATTTTGACATATATTTTAAAGGAAAATTTAGTGATTATTTTTAAGTTGTTCAAATCGGTTTACAAGGCTTTGTAAAAATAAAGCGAAATATGTTACATTATATTACCCGATAGTTAAAGATTTTCTGGCCAAGGGATCCTTGGCTGGATGGCTGGATCCGCTTATATTACTCTTTTTTCTTATATTCACTAAATTGGTGAAAATGGCCCAATGTATTTTTTGAAATATAATTACGTACGTTCGTTACAATTGCTTACAAGGCATTTTATATTTTGTTTTTTTTATAAAAGGCTTGCTGCTACGGGGAAGATATTGAGGGGTGTTTTTTTTTCAAAATGTTAATAGCTTAGTATGAAATAAACTAAATTGCCAAATTTGATTAAAATATATCCATAAACAAGCAAACTACAACAGTTTATTTGTTCTCCATAAGAATAACACATGAATTTAAATTTACAATTTTTTAAATTATCTCCGTAACCGTTAGACATACAACAACGCTTCAATATAAAAAATTATTTCTTTAGCGAAATCCTTCCGCTGCATATTGAGATATATATTTATTCTATTTATTTGTCTATAATATTACAGACACACAGACAAACAGACATAGCTCGTATTAGAGTATAGGATTGAAGATGCATCAGCTGTTAGAGTTGTTGTTATTTACTCGTATATTTTGTTTGTTTACTTTTTTCCAGAGTTAATATTTTATTCTCATAATAGGCTAGGTGTTTACAATTACAATAAAGTTTTACTAGTTTTGATTCTGCTACACAGTTTTATTTTTATACAATATATTTTCATTTAAAATAAGCAATAAGTACGATTGAGAGTTGCCAGTATAATTTTAATGGTTAACGTGTGTAAGTGTTTTTTACTAAATTATTAGAATAATAAAACTAAATCTACAACTTTATAACAAATAATATCTACTTCAAAATCAGGTAACCCCAAAAGCTCTCACTTTTATGTATATGCTCGTCGCCGTATGGCTTATAACAACACCACCAACGTTATAATCTTCTTTGGCATAGTTATATTTATTTTACAATAAAATAACTTATAACTTAAAGATACAGGTGTAAGTTTGTAGGAAGAACACATTTCTAAACAGATCGGCATTTGTTTTCAGACGAAATATTATATCGTCACATTGTAGGTAAGTGACGTTTGCAGTAAAGAATTGAAGAAAACGTGTCCAATATCATACAAATCAGTGTTTTGGATAATTTTGTATATAAATATTTCAATCAGTATACACTGACGACGAAGGAATAAATTAGGCCTAAATTACCGCCACTTTTAAGAATTCAGAAAAAAATAGTTTTATCATAGAGTTCCTCTTTTGCGATTGCCACGTAAAACCAAAACAATATTTAGGTTGGAAATTGGAGGTCAATCACACTTTCGCAACTACACAAAAGTTAACTGACCCGAGTGACCTGATACCCCATCAACTGGCCTGTTTGAAAGGAAAATCTAAGAAATTGCAAATGAAGTCGATTCGGAGAAACGTGCGAGGGGATTAACGGGACATCGCTGAATTCTGTTCACTCATATTTCCTTTACCTTTCCAAGTACTGAATGTTTATGGGTTGGCTTAGATTAAACAATAGGTGGAATACATTGTACCAGATGCCTACGACCACATTTTACAACAGGTATTTCTTTAATCTTTCTCCATAATAGCTAGTCACGGGTTGTTCCTGAATTATATTGTATTATTGTTCTAATACAAACGAGAGAAATTCGCCCTTGTTCACGGTCGTATAACATAAATTGGAGGCTATAACATCATCACGAAGTTGAAGCTATTGTTTTGGAAATATTCAAGTGTATTTTTTATTTAAAAAATGTATGCTTGAATAATCATTTACAATTCGAGTTTACTCCGTGATTAGTAAAATAACCCTACAAAAACACTTCAATGTACTAAATCTGTTGTCCCTAAGCTCTACAAAAGTAACCATTTAAACGAGGTGAAAATTTTAAGGGGAGATACAACTAGATATAAATACAACAAGTCGTAGTTACAACTAGACCTAGGTACAATAACAATAGAGAACGAGTCGATTTAAAGAGTCGTTATCAGAGCTTAGTCAGCCTCCGTTTGCCTCGCCCTCGGCTCAAAACCCGATTTGTCCCTAAGTTTCCGTGTCCCTAAGTTTCCTCGTCCCCATCTTTCCGGACACCGAAAATTCTCCTAATAGTCCAAACAATTGTATTATATGGGTATTGTTTCTAACACGTAATACCCAATTGTAAGGAATCGTCTGTTGTTGGTTGGGTAACTTTTTCCGATAAGACCAGTTGTTAA